ATCAGAGACTCCAATTGCCATCGCATTAGGATTGATTAGAGACCAGCAGTACCGTAATGACCCGGAAAGAGGGGCATACGGGGATTATTAATATCAGACTTCTTAAAAAAAAAAAAAAAAAGAGAGAGAGAGAAAGAGAGAAAAAGAAAGGAGGAGGAGGAGGGAAAATTTAAAAAAATTAAAAAACCAAAAGGGCATCATCGCGGGGTTGCTACTCGTTTGCAGACCTACCTGAGGAGCACAGACACCGGCCGGCCGCACAGACGAGAATGTGTCTAACTTCTGGGGAAGAAAAAGCAAACAAACATGGGGAAAAAAAAAAAAAAAAGGAAAAAAAAAAAAAAAGCCCACCTCTGGACACCCTGAAACCGCCCGCCCCCCTGCGCTGCTCCCACCGAAACCCCCCGGGGCTCAGCCACCCGGGCCAAAGGAAGCCGGTCCCCGGGCCAGCGACAGCAAGGACAAGTTAAGGAGCCTCCGAGAGGAGCAAGGAGACCTTGGTGGCTCGTCTCCTTCTCAGTTCCCTGCGCCAAAACAACTCAGCCCCTCCTGGTCTCGGTTTAAATGTAGCTTACTGGATAATTAACTCCATCTTTCCAGCCCTGCTTTAACTGTTTATTTAGTGTCACCCCGTATTACCATCACTAGCACTTTCCACTGAACAGGAGGAGCTGGAGGGTTTCACCTCCCAAAAGGAAATTCTTCGTAGCCCAAAAGAATTAGCATCCAGGAGGTACATTAGCGAGCAGGAAAGGGGGGGGGGACACACGAGGAGAAGGGGGGGTCCCACAGCAAGAACAGGAGAAAATCAGGGTGTGGGGAGACAGAGAGATGCATCGGCCCTCGGAGAGGAAAAAAAAAAAAAAAGCCAACGCGTGACCACCTCTAATCCTTTGAAAAATGTCCCGGTAAGTGTGCGGAGAAAGAGCCCTTTGTGCCCTGGGGATCGCCCCCGCGGGGGCCACGCCGGGAGGGCCCGATCCTGAGCCTGGTCCTGATCCTGATGATCCTGAGCCTGATCCTGATCCTGATCCTGCTCCCCATCCCATCCCATCCCGTCCCGTCCCGTCCCGTCCCGTCCCGTCCCTCCTGCCGCAGCCCCGGCCCAGCCTGACCTTGCTCCGGGGGCGGGGGGGGGGCAGGAGTCCCTCGTCGCCGGGCACCCCGGGGGCGCGGAGGAGGGGACCCGGGCAGGGACACGGCCCCCCCGCCCCTCGGACACCGGGGGTTGTTTTTACAGGTGTCTGGAGGGCAATTTACTACCGAGTAATTAAAGGTTGCACCGGTTTGCGGGCGCGTCGGGCCAAAGGCTCCTGCGAGGCAAGAGGGGCGCATATGGAGAGGGGTTTGTCCTTCCTCATTAAAAAAATAGAATAATAAAGGGAGGGGGGGGGGATAGAGAGGGAGAGAAAGAAAATACAAATCCTGTATTGTTTAGGAGCAAGGCGGGGGGGGGGCTGTCTCCGCACTCGGCGGGGAAGGCAGCGCGGATGCGGTATCACGTTGCAGATCCTCCCTCCAGATAACGAAAGGCGATCTATTTTTCAGAGCAGCAAGTGGATGGGAAAGGAGCCCTCTCACAACACAAACCGGGGGGGGATAGAGAGGGAGAGAAAGAAAATACAAATCCTGTATTGTTTAGGAGCAAGGGGGGGGGGGGGCTGTCTCCGCACTCGGCGGGGAAGGCAGCGCGGATGCGGTATCACGTTGCAGATCCTCCCTCCAGATAACGAAAGGCGATCTATTTTTCAGAGCAGCAAGTGGATGGGAAAGGAGCCCTCTCACAACACAAACCTCATTGACTTAATGGCTGGGTTTTGGATTTCGCCCTTGGAAAGGTTCGGGAAGCGGCAGCGTTGTGTTACCGCCCCGCCGGCTCCCAGCCTCCGGCCCCGGCTCCCCGCGCCGCTCCCAAAACAACAACAACAACAACAACAAAAACACCCCTCATTTTATTTTGTTGCGCTATTTGTTTCCTCCAGAACCCTCACACTTACAGGGGAAAAAAAATAATAAAAAAAATTATTTTTGGTGAGGGGAGGACATTATTTCTAAGGTCGGGGGGAGATGGATGGGAGTCTTGTTCGGGTTATTTTTTTCTTGCTTTGTTTTGGTTTTTCTGGTGAAATCGAGGAAAACCCGCAGAGCGTTGCGTGGGATCCCTCTTCAGCCCCGCTCCGCGCTGTCTGACCCCGCATCGAAGAAATAAGCGAATAAATGAGTTTCCCGCACAGGCGGAGCCGGCGGGCGCCCCGGCAAGCGGAGCCGGGCGCGGAGGCCCTTCGCGGCCGCGCAACGGCCCCTTCGGCCGCCGCCGCCTCCCCTCCGCGCCCGCGGAGGTGCCAGGCCCCGAGGGCGGAGGGAACCCCGCCGGGGGGGGGTGGAGGGGGCGAAGCCAGAGGAGGCTGTTCCTTTTCTGCCGAAAAATAAACGACAAAGAAGCAGCCGGCGGCAGCTCCGCGCCGTTATGTTGTTATTTAGTTATTTGCATCTGGCTTTTTTTTTTTGTGGGTGGGTGTGTTTATTCTTATGGGGCGGCTCGAAATAATTTTTTTAATTTTATTTTTCAGGGTGATTTTCCTGGGGTAAATGGGGTGGAGCGGTTTGCGAATTCTTTCCCCTTTTCCCCTGGTTTAAAGTGAAAAGTTTCCACTTTTTAGGAAAACCAGCCCCGGGCAGTAATTAACAGC